GCATTATTTCTTACTGGGTAACGTCTCTATGTGATAGAGGGATTTCCGCGCAAACGGTGGAACCCTAGGTGAGTTTTGAAATTTACCTTTCTCATGTTTTTTGGTGGAGGTTCTGACAGAATGTCGGAACCGCTAGAGAAGATAAGGCGCTTGGTGGATTAGAACGCAAGTCTTAACCACAAACCGCATTTAGGCCTCAGAAGACGACGATTAGGCCGAACTAATAAATGTTCCACCTATAAGCCTCGTACGGCCCAAACAACTAACACGAATGAAATCAAGAGTTTGCAGTTTTTTGCCTTTTGCTCAATGAGGGACGCCTCGCTCCAATTTCCTCCAAGCCTCGTTGGTCTGGGAGAAGAAAGGAATCTCATCATGTAGCTGATCCAGAACAGCGCACTGGTACATAACATCTCGACAGCTGTCCACTATCTTCTCCAGGAGAACCTCCGGCTCCGGGAGCTTTGGAAGCGCTCTCGAAGCAATTGTTGATTTGATTTCCACTTTCTGTACTTCGTCGAACTCATTTCTTCAGTCGCAATTCCGTAGCTTTTGCAAATTTTCGCATTCGCAACAGAGAACTGCTACAACCAGGAGCAAGCAGGGCAAGACAGTCGATAATCGCAATGTTAAGCTTCTTCAAAATTTCATCACGTACGCAGGTATTCGGTGGTATCACTGCACAACATTGAATATGTGATTTCTACTCGCAAGTAAATTTTTTCTCGCACTCGCTTGAATTGCCCAACGCAGCTTTGAGAGTTGCGAATTGGTTACATTACTATCCCATGGCTGGCTATTGGACATCTGCTTAACGGCCACCCTCTTGAGTAGAAAGGTGCTGCTAAACAAATCAGCGCTTTAGGTGATTCTTTTTTCGCAGCTTTGAAAACACGCTAGAAATTTGCATTTTCTTAATGCTTAGCTGTTCCAGTAAAATCTTTTTGACTTACCGGAAAGCGCTCCCTCAAATTGTGACGGTTCTGTGCTAGTGGCGCTTCATAATCTGACTGTAGCGGGGGATGGGGGATCGCTTTCTTGATCAACGAAGTCGCAAATGGGTTTTAAAGAAGTGACTAAATTAATTTCAGACAGCGCAGGGCATTGTGGTCGGTTGCATCGCGGTAAAAATACTGCGCTCTAGTGTCAGCTTTGCTAAATTTCGGTTTTGTTCCTTCTGATGTTCTTTGTTTGTAGGGGTCGTTTTCCTGAATCATTTCAGCAATTTATTTTATTTTATTTATTTACTGTGCGCCCAGGAGACGCGCTTTAACAAGTCAAGCAAGAGGGCAGATAGAGGTAGCAGCTGTTAAGGACTTCAACGATAACTAACAAGAACATAAAAAGAAAACAAAGGAAAACAAAGTGTAAAGTATAAAATAAGATGAGGGTGATTGCTGCATCACAAAGAGCTCCAGAGTAAAAAAATCAACAAACTACGCGCAAGTGAAAGGATCGGATAGACTGCAGAATGCAAATGCAAATGCAAATAAAGAAAGGATGAAAAAGCTTACCAGTCAAGCGGACCACATTGCAGTGATGCTAAGATGAAGAAATGAAGCCGATGAGAAAGAGATAGTACTGAGGAACGGAATGGTCCAAGGAGGACGGTAGAAAAGAGGTGGCAGAAGTCATCTTGCATACAGCTAAATTCAACCTTATGACACAGACCCGCATCAGTCGGCAATGATGCCCTCCAGCCACAGGCGGAGTCATAAGAGCTTGCCGAAACTTCGGGACACGGGTATACCGACCACCCACGTGGAGACGGCAAGCTGGGTAGGTGTCATAAGCGAGACTATTGACATCCTAGTAAACATCGACAGCCACCTTCAAATTTTATGGAGGACCAACAGTGTAAAAGCGATGAGTGCAATAAAGGATTGACTAAAATTCTTTCACTACTCCTACCGGAGCAGGATTCTATGCAAGGCGGACCGTTGGACTGGTAAGCGATTACAATTAAACGTGGCACTGCTGAGTAACAAGAGAATAACACATCAACAGACATCGGCGATTCCCAAAATGTTCAGTACGTTGACCTTTCTGATGTAGTTTTTGAAGTCTTTTGAATTACTGAGCCCAAGAAGACGAGAAGGCAGCCGCTCCAGCCATTTCGTGGTCCGAAGTATGAAAGAGTTAGTTCTGAGGTCACGTCGCCACTTGCCCATCTTGAGGTTGTAGATACGGAATGCGCCAGTTCGCCCAGACGTCGGTCGAAAGGTCCAGTACCTGGACGGCTTTACACGGAGTTCACCCTTCAGTAGCTTGAATGCTAAAATCAAATCTGATTGTATGCGTCTGTAAAAGAGGCTTTTCATATTCAGTTTTTGTAGGCGTGCCTGGTAGGAGGGTAGGGTGAGGGGGTAGTTCTTATCTGGAAAAGCCCTGTAGAAAAGTATCCGAGTAAATGTTTTCTGAACTTTTTCAATTTTCTGGATATCCTTAGCTAGAGAGGGGCTCCATACAGAGCTACAGTATTCGAGGACAGGGAGGACATACATTTTATTAAGCAAGCCTTTCTTCGGTTTTTATCAGTACATCCAGCTCACTCAAAAGATCTTCCACCGTCCGACTATCCTCTTCATGATTCTGACAGATCTTTGCCTGAGTTGTCTTCGCTGCAAGTCGACCTTGAATTTCGCTAGTATTTTTTGCGAAATAAAAGATCCCTTGAGGGTGACTCCCTGTTGTCTCAGCTGTGCTGTCAGGGATATCAAGATACTCGAGCAGATTACGTTGCTCGCTTATTTGATTGTTTTTGGCTGTTGCTGTTTCCACTCGTCTCTGGAGATTTCAAACCAATTTTGCTTTATCGCCATATTTGAGATGCAACAGTTCAAGCGCTGCTTTATAGCTCTCCTCTGTGATGGAATACCTCCGTATTGCGTTTTCGGCGCTACCCTTCAGGACTTGTAAAAGATAGCTAAACTTTTGTGAGCCGCCCAATTTTTGGACTTTTTTGCTTGCGCGAAATAAGGCCCAGATTCCAAATTCGCTAAAATTCCCATCAAAGGTACGCATTGGTATTGTAGGTAGCTCCGGCCTCCAGGTCAGGTGGCCTCCGCCTGAAAGTCCGACTTTGGAAGTTACCAACTTAAGCCTTATGGCTTCCATGCGTATTAGCAGATTTTTTGCCTCCTTTAAGGCGTCCAGAGTTTCATCAGTGTACTTTGGCTCGCCTTCTGTGGGTCTTCTGTGGTGGGCTCCGCGAGCTGGTCTAGGGCTTCAACAAAACCATTGAAGGTATTCGGCAAGCGACTCTGATCGCCGGAGCATGTTCAGTCATCACCCGGCAGCGTGTTTTTATACCTTGTTAATTGACTTTTCTGGCATCGCAAAGTATTACAGCCACTCATATCGGAATGAAGACTCGCGTAGTGTGCGCATCCACAGAATTTCGCAAAAGCGGTGTAAAGGAAAAATCGCTAGAAAAATGAAACTAAAATCTCAAAATACAAGAAAAGTAGAATTTGGCGCCTTTGTGTTGTTCGGTCCTTTTTGGGACCACGCGGTTCTAATATATAATAAATATATAAATATAGGGTCGTCTCGTCGTGTCAATCTAGTCGCTTCCAATCAATTGCGCGAACATTTATTAGAACAGAAACAAACAAGGAAACTGTGAGAAACTATCAGAGTGGGAAAGAGGATAGGAGTACCCCTGGTCCTCCTTCCAAAGCCTTTTACACGCCCAGGGTCCAAAGATCAGAATGTTCGGGAAGTGTTCAGCCACCCTGGATATAGAAGTTTTGGCGGGAAGCCCCCTCTGCGATCAAGGTTCAAATTTTGTTTCCTTCGATTGTCACATAGACGGGCTCGCTAAACAATTTTCGCTCGCTTTGTCACGTTCGCCTTTGAAAACGCCTTACTCTCGCGTTTGGTGATAGCTAATGCTACACGGGAAAGCTAATAGGACTGTCGGCTCAGGAATCTCTAGCTTTTCATGAGTTTTGTTCGCAACGTTGACTAACCGCTACCGGAAAAGCAACATTTGTCTTACTTTCTTAGTTTAGAGGCTGTCGTGCCGTGCGTAGAGTCAACTGTATGCTCCGGTGGTGCGACCACGGAACGCGGCAAATCGTAGGATCAGTGGCTGCCCACAACATTTCGGAAGGAAACGCGTGAGCGGCATTGCTCTGACGCGCGCCTGCTGCGAGCTCATGCGCAGGGCCTGCTCTCTGACCCCTACAACGACGGCATGCTAGTGCGTGCGACTGATCACTTGACAAGGTGCGAGATGTCGGCATGCGATGACCAAGAAGAATGTCAAGGGGACCAAAGTGATCAACAAGAATCGACGAGGCGAACGTGATGTGCGCGGCGTGTATGTGTGTGTTAGAGTATTGTTGGATGAATGTGAAGGACAATTTACTACTCATACGATATGAAGGATAATAAACTACCATATCTGGACTTGAATTACAAAGTAAACCGTTAAAACAACATGAAGGAAGTATTAGTGTTATTACAGTTAATGAAATCCCATACTTCAGTAATGCTATAAGACATCAAAAAATTGTAAATTAGATGTGAAGAGGGAAATCCTGGCGAAGATGAGAATACATGTAAAGTTGGGAAACTAATAGATAAGTAAAAAGCGAGGCAAAGATATGAGCCGATGCGTGATCTCCTCATAATATGCGCGATGTGAAGTAAAGCATATTAAAGAACGTGTAGGCCTTAGCGAGCGAGCTGGAGACAGACCAATGCGCGAGCTCAGAATGCTTGCATCATGCTAGATTTCGTATGGTTTGAGGGCGATTTGAAGGCCATGTAAGCCAGGATCCGCGCCGCAGTCGACGCTCAGCCACGTCTGTGGAGCATCACGGTTTCGCGCAGATCGTAGAGCATCTTTGCTCGAGGTGTGTGCTACGTCACGACAGAGACGTCGCCATCAACATGTTGGCGTTTTTGGTTACCCCCACTGGCCCTGGCATTATTGGGTGTTGGTTCCCAGCGCGATGCCCCTCTCGTATTTTCCCACTGACAGGGTTGAATTTGGTGGAAGTGGTTGAGCTTTTTGGAGCTGCGTAGGCTGAGAATGTGTGAGATACAAACACCATATTCAAATCGTTCAAACTCTATCGAGATGTCTCAGCGGTCTTTGCTTGTTACAACAGAAGCATTCTAGCACATAGGTTGATCCCCCGTAAGCACACCATGCTTTTGAGCGCGCTCCGGCACAGTAGAGGTGCGACGCCTTGCATCGCTGTATTGCTAGAAGACGAAGACCATGAAGCCAGATCGGCATAAGCCTTCTCAAAAGATTTTTACAGCAATACAAGTAAAGCGTCTCAGAAATTACGTTTCAATAGAAGTAGAAATTACGTTTTTACTCTCTCTTACACAATTGGATCACTGGTGTTACAGAGTGTCAAATCTCATCGCCGGAAAACAGAACCAGTTGCGGACACTTCGTTCGTACAGGAGCCGCGAAAAATAAAGCGGAAAATCTACTCTAAAAAACACACGTCGCACCTCATAAGTACTCCTCGAAGCTCTCGGTATTCATACCTGAGCAAAATATTCGGAAAAAAATACAAGGTATGCCTTATGACTTAATGACTTTTTTTTAATACATAGTAGTGAGGAGCACTAGACGCAACAAGTGTTTTTGCTTTATTTTTATTTTTGTATGTGTGCAATTGAGTCATTCTTCAGTTGTCGTTCAGTTTTAGTTGACCATTTTCTTAACAGATGCCATAATTCCTGTCACCTGTATCACCTGTCGTCCCGTTGATCATCGAATTGCTCGAGCGGGCGCCAGCAACGTCTCCATTCGTCCCTGTCGCGTGCAAGAGTTGTCCAGTGGACCTCCTCGCTCGAGGGACACGATGTCCTTCATTCCTTTCGTTCAGAGCTTTCGTGAAGAAGTCTGACCATCGGGCCGGCGGTCGTCCAGGTGTTCGTTTGACGTCCCGAGGGATCCAGTCGGTAACCGCTCTGGTCCAACGGTCATCGCAAAATCGCATGACGTGTCCGGCCCACCTTATCTTCGATTCCTTGGCGAAAACGGCAGCGTCCCTGATCTTCGATCGTTGGCGTAGTCGGCACTCCGGATTCCCCTCTGCACTTGCGTGTATAGGGTTACTCCTAGCATCGTCCTCTCGACAGCGCGTTGGATAACGCTGACCGCATGCTCGTCCTGCCTGCGCAGAGTCCAAGTCTCTGAGGCGTAGGTTAGGGCAGGAAGGACAGCGGAATCGAAGAGGTGGGCACGGAGCCGGATGTTCTTCGTCTTCTTCACTACTCCCTCGATGTTCTTTACGCTCCCCAAGCCGCTCGTTTCCTCCTGCTCAGCTCTGGAGCTAGATCGTTCATCATATTGATTTCCCGACCTAGGTACACGTAGCTGGAGCATTCGGTGATGTTCGTTCCGTTGAGCGTGAATGGGGCATCAGGAACCAATCCGTTTCTCATAAACATCGTCTTCGTTAGGTTCAGCTGTAGACCAACCTTACCACAGGCGCAGTCGAAATCAGCCAGCATTCGCTCCGCTTGCTCGATGTTCGGCGTTATAAGAACGATGTCGTCAGCAAAACGAAGGTGGTGTAGTTGCCGGCCGTCGACCTTCACTCCCATGTCTTCCCATTCCAGTTGACGCATGACGTTCTCGAGAGCGGCGCTGAAGAGTTTGGGCGAGATGGTGTCGCCCTGTCGAACCCCTCTCTTGACGTCGATGATGACCTCCTTGTAATGGTGAGATTCTGGTCGTAAAGTTGCTGTAGAGCTCACGAAGAATCTTGATGTACTGAGTAGGGACGCCCTGGTTGCCCAAGGCTTCGATGACCGCTTCTGTCTCCACAGAGTCGAAGGCCTTCTTCAAGTCGATGAACGTGAGACAAAGCGGCATCTTGTACTCTCGTGAAACTTCAATGAGTCTTGTAACCGTGTGGATATGGTCGATCGTGCTGAACCCTCTTCGAAACCCTGCTTGCTCGCATGGCTGTCCTTCATCTAGTATTCTGCCGATCCTGTTAAGGATGACTCGAGTGAATAGCTTGTAGATTACAGACAGCAGGCAGATTGGGCGATAGTTGCCAATGTCGTCCAGGTCTCCCTTCTTGTACAGCAACACGGTCCTGCTGGTTTTCCACGGAGTGGGTACCTTGCATTCCGACAGGTAGCGCGTGAAGAGTCGAGCCAGAGTTTTGATGATAACTGGCGGCGCATTCTTCAGATGTTCCGGTTTGACCCTGTCGAGACCGGGTGCTGTACGATTCTTCACCGACTTGATGGCGTGTCGGACTTCGGAAGAGAGAACTGAGGGACGACGTATCCATCCTGTTGCAGTTGATAAGTGGGCAGATGGACATGGCTATCGAAGAGATCCGAGTAGAAGTCGTGGATGACTTTCTCCATTGCCCTTCGGGATGCAGTAACTGTTCCATCCGGACGTCGGAGGCAGGTCATCTTGGTCTTGTAGCTGGCAAAGCTTCGGCGGGCATTGCGGATGCTCCTCCCAGCCTCTGCTGCTTCAGCTAATACTGCTGCTCTTCGCTCCTTGAGATCTTCCTTTATCGCCTCTCTGCATAGCTTCGCAAGCTCGGACGTGAGTCGGTGATTGCCTGCAGCTCGTGCGGCTCCACGCTGGCGTATCAGTTCGAGAGTTTCCGGAGACAGACGTCCCTTGGTGACTTTCAAACTCTCTGCCTTCTTGCCACAATCGTGAAGATGTTCAACGAGCCGATAGTACTCCTCGTCGATGTTTTCGATGACGGAATCCTCCCATAAGCTGACGAGGGAAGCGAAGTGATCCCAGTTGATGACTGTCCTGGGGCTTCGCTTCCTGAACTTCGAGGCTCTCTCAACACGCATCGAAAAGTGGAACTTTGCGCGGAGGAGACGATGGTCCGATCCCGTGTAGAACTTTCGGAACAACAGCGACGTCGGTCAGGCAAAACCTTCGATTGAAGATGATGTGGTCTATCTCGTTATGGAACTGTCCATCAGGTGACTCCCAAGTCCAACGAAGGTGAGGGGCTTTTGGAACTGTGAGTTACCATGGATGGTGTTGGTCGACATGATAAACTCCGACAGTCTCTCACCCTGCTCATTCCATTCCATTCCGTGAGTACCGATGTGAAGTTCTTCAGCCGTTCTTCTTGGGCCAATCTTAGCGTTGAAGTCGCCGACGATGACCTTGAAGAAGGTATGATCTTCCCTGTAGAACTTCTCCAATTCCATATAGAATGCTTCGTGTTCTTCTTCGTCGTAGCTGGATGTTGGTGCGTAGGCGACGAAGATTGTCAAAGCAGGAGTTGAACCACATCTTCTCAATCTCAAACGTCCGATTCGGGTCGTAAGGCTTTCGTACGAATCGATGTTTATGGCCAAGTGCGTGTTGACGAGGACACCCACACCGCCAACGCCTCTGCTGTCGCATGTTCCAAGGAACAGTTCTTCTCCAGTATCGAAAACGGCGTGTAGCGGGCGGTGCCTTCTCGTCTCGGTCAGTCCGATGACGTCGTACTTGATCTTCCTGGCCTGCATCATCAGATCTTCGATGTGAGCTTCGGATGCAAGCGTTCGTGCGTTGAAAGTACAGATCGCCATCTTAGTCCTTCTTCGTTTAGGCAGCCTATCCGGGCCCTGAGATTCTAGCAGCCTCTCCCGAGCGGTCCTACCCAACGCTGCCGTATTGGGGGCTCCCTCAGGTTCAGGGGAATGAGGCCCATCCATATTGCTGTTTTCGGCATATTGAAGGCACACGAGTAGCTTGCCAGGCTCTGTCGTGTGGGCTAGGATAGACCTCCAGGTAGTTAGCCACGCTATCCTGGAGCGGAACAAGGGGCTTATTTTTTGGAGGCGGCCCCGAATCGCCTCCCATGTACTTCCCAGTCACTTGAATGCAAGCTTTTGGCTGTGCCGACATGCAGGATACCAACCGCACACACACAGAGCGCACCACACACGCAAGCATGCATGGATGCGCCTGAGTGGAGACAGCTGGTATGAATCAACACAGCACTACAGAAACAGGGAGTCCATCCCCTGAATCCACCTGCGTCTCAGGGCAAGTACATGGTGGCTTTTGGTCCGCGATTTACCCCCTATCCGCCACCTGGGGTCGCGCCACGTAGCCTCGCCACCAACCGGCTCGAGATCTTTCAGTGAGAGAGGACCCTCAGTGAAAGAGATCCGTGGATAAATTTTTGGAAGAATTAATTGTAGAATTTGTTGGGAATTTTTTAAAGTTCGGACTTCTCTTCTTGTTCATAATATGGGAGGGTGCTTCTGATGGGAATTTCTACTTGATTTCAATAGATTTAGCTGCACGGAGGCACTATATGACTGAGTGCTTTCAAGTGCAATTCAATGCTGATACTGAAGTAAGGTTAATTCTTCGCAGCCGTGAAACGCCGTCATCACCTCACCTCTGAAATGCGCAACTACTAAGCTTACCCCTTTACTCATCTTTTCGGTCAAAAGATTAGTAAACTCACTTGTACAACTCTTTCCGACGAATACTTAACCCTTATCTAATGCTCGAATCAAAAGGAATTTCCAAGCCACTCCTTACACAATTGTGACAAAAGTTCTCTTCAGTAACGTTTCCAATGTGTTGGAATGGACGTTCATACTTTCGTCAATGGCTTAAACCAGAACCCATGCAGAAGTCGTGTGAACTCTCTTCATAGGATCCCTTCATAGGATAGGATATCCTAGAGGGCAATCACGGTGTGACACTGCCCGTACACGAAAATCGCCTGATTTTGGAGCCACGGCTCGAAAAGAGAACCTCGCTTCAATTTTCCCCATCCGCAGAATACTATTGCCTTGTGCCGTCACACTTTTTTGCGGTGTTGCGCCTCATACTCTCCTCTCCGCGTTTTTCATTGCTTTAGCCGCATTTCGAAGGTGACCAAGTCTGTAGCTCCAGCGTTTTAATGACTTCATTCACCTTCTTCTTTACTGCCGGCCCAGTTCGCTCCAATTTTTTCATATTCGCGTACAATGAACGACGCCTGTTTGATCTGGAGCATTCTTCTTCAGGAATGCAAAATACATGATTCTTTTGCATACTTTTTCAATTGTCCAACATCGCATACTTTTCAGCTTCTTGTGAGGGACGCTAATACTAAACGTGTCAACCACCGCGTCATTCGAAGAGTGAAGCGAAGTCTCAGACGTCTGGTCGTAGATGGCATCGGCAAGAGTGATTCGAAGGGATTTCAGGCATCTTTCTTCTCCACTCTTTCTGTTTACCTATGCTTCTCAGCTACTCTTCACCTGTCTACATTTTCAAGGTAATCAGCATGCGCACTGCGCCATCTCTAGTGCCTCAACAAGGAAAGTCAGTGGCGAGTAGAGTTACTCGCATGGTCACGACATTGGTACGAGGCAATGCCGACGGAAGCACTACTATGGGGTACGGGTCAATCGACCCCGCAACATTGAGTGATTCAGCGCAAAGTCATTCTTATTTGTCTCAGATAGTTTTAGAGGATCAAAATGGACGGAAAGCTACAAAAGTCTTCTCCATATCAAAAAAGCTATGGATGACCGAGCAAAACAATCTGGTGCAAAGGTTTGTATCAGTTCAAGGATGATAAATTGAAGAACTAGAAAATTCGAATTTGCGTGTTTTCCAGGTATACGACTTCCGCATGTTCGACCTTGTCATCGGTAACGATAAACCAACCAAAGCTAAGGGAGAAAAGGTATCAAGTGGTCACCTTCACAAGTCTAGAAAGTCAATTCATTCGGCGCAAATATGACAATTGGGACTGCTTGACTCAAATGAGTTAATCAGACCTAACTCAAAACATTAGCAGTGGATGATGCAGAGCGACTACTAAATGTATGCAATCATGGCTAATTTTGTTGAGTACTTGGGATAATTTGCCGCTTACCGCTACTCGGTGCCTGAGACGTGTTCCCACAGTGCACTTCTTTACGACGGGCTCTAGCTCTTATAATTATCGGTCTCCTGCCGTTTTCCTCAGTTAGCACTGTATCAAAAGAACTTGTAAATATGAAGAAGCAAATTTTACTGATTTCCTCTGTAATAGACCTTAAAAGTATTTTGACTTACTTGGGCTCAAAACATATATTTTGCGATCCACGTAGATTTGTATTGATTTTGCTTTTTTTTACACTGTCCTAAGAATAAGAGGAGTGAATGCAGCGTGCGTACATTACAACAAATGTATGGTAAGATTCATGGCGCATGAGTCATACAACAGAAACGGTAGATTAAACAGCTCCGAAAACGGACGCACCGTCCGTTGTCCCAGCCGCTCTATAAAATACCCTCCTCTGGCTCGCTCCTCCTGCCTTTCCTCCCAGTCTGATATCGGCGTCGAGATCCAAGGCATAGAGCATCGAGAGCTGTCTAATCAATCGATCACAAGCTATTGGTTGCAAGTTTGCTCCCTCCTAGACCTCCCGACCACAAAAAAACCCCGGCCGGCAGTGCGAGCAACTGATGTGGTAGGAGATGATGGTGACTTGGAGGAAATCGCCTGGAAGGAGCGAGGAGGAAGTAGCGCAGTTGAAACGCATTGAAGTAGAATGCCAAACTCTGAAGGAGTGCGAGCGAGATTGTGATGCTTGGTGATCTTAAAGGTGAGATGATGTAACGATAGCGCCCGCATTGTCAACCCAATTGACGACGTCCCCCAGTAGGGGTAGGGTTCGCAGGGATGGTACGTGGCCGCTAATCAACTACACTCGCCTACAGCGCGTGATGGCAACTTTAAGCGGAGAAGATCGCCAAGGAAACAGCGGTTTCTGACCGCAAGTCGGTGCGGGTTGTGAGAAGAATGACGGCATCCGTTTCTCGGCTCTGAATCGGGTCTACCGTTGAGAGTTTCTATGCCGTTCCGATGCGAAGGCAGAAGCCGAAATTGTTCGCGGTGGAAAGTTACCACACGAATCTGTGCAGTCCTACCGACTCGCAGTAGCTGGTCCATCAGGGAGAAACATATGCTGGCTTCTTCTTCTTGAGATGAGAACGAGACGGAGCCTGAAATTAGCTGCCTTCAACCGACCAAGGCAGCCGGGGTCGAAAAACTGCGCGGTTGAGTAGTACACGACGATTGTTGGCCGTGGCTCCGCTGACTAAAGTGCCGTTGTAGTAGGGAAGGTTTGGCAGGGTGTAAAGATCAGCCCTGAACGTAGTTACCTACGCTGCTCTCGGGACTCCGGCAGATCCTGTGTTACCGACATGTGCTACGTGCGCCGAAAGCGCTGGGTTGGACTTGTTCGGACACCGTACATGGGGCCGCATCTGATAACCATCGCCGTACACCTGTCGCACGGAAACGTTGTGATCATACAGGCAAAAACGGGCTCTGGCACTTGCGGCGCTTCATCAATACTAATTATCTTCCGATCGGTAATGTGCTCAAAAATTACCCTCGTAACGGCAGTGTTCAGAAGGAAGGCCGCAGTCAGAAGGAGAACATCTGGAGCGCGAACGCTGAACATTATCGTGACCACCTTTTTGATGCGTTCGGATATCTCCTTTTCGACCAGAATGTATTCGTCAATCTCTTCTGCCGACCTGCTCATCGACCGGACGGTATTGCGGGCATAGCGTTCGTGAAGAAGCCTCCCCCTGCGGAATCAGGAGCCACAGGAAAGTTCTTTCCTCTGGAGCGGTGTAGGAACTCATCTCCGAGCTACTTTGAAATTTCGTGGGCATCGATCGGTGTTTCAAGGAAGCTTGCCCAAAACGCCGATTCTGAAATATACACTGGCAGGCGAACTGCCTCGAACGCTAGCACAGTTTAAGCAGCATTATTGGTGGTGGCCGTTACTGACAGGCCCTTTTTGGTGCTGCACTAAGAGTCCCGATGACGACGAGTGGGATGGTCTTGTGCCGAAGGCGGCTTGAATTTTCGCGATCGGATTCCCAGCCATAGCGAGCTCTGACGAACTGCGCTGGCCGTAGTCAGTGATATGAGCTGTTTGTTGGACCGGAAGTATCCGGAAACGACATCGGTGAAGCGACCTGATTTGAGTGTCGAGGTTGCTCTGACGGGGCGCTGCCGGGTTACGCTATATGATGCTCGATGCGGTGCTCTTCGTTAGTTTGTACAGGGAATGCTCTGCTGGCAAAGTTCCGAATGATTCGCCTAAAAAAAGTTTGCTCCGATGATACGATTGCGTGGATATTGCGGTCAGATGGGCTGTACGAGTTAAAGAATATTTCATGCCCTGAGAGCGTGACTTTGGACTCAGCTATTTCAGCTAGCTTGAGTTTGCCTGAGGCTTCAATATTGGAAAAATCGCTCGAACACTTTCCAAAGGACTTGCAGGTGCTCCGCAAAGGTCTGATTCAATATGATCATGTCATCATTATAAGCTAAGCATCTTGCCTCTAGTCCAGATCTTACACCAAAATGCCGCAGAGGAATAGCGTTTCGTATTGGGACGAAATATGTTAAGCAAAAGAGAGCTAATGTTGGCATTGGTTGGAGACAAAGCACTAGAACAAAACGGAATGCTGGACGGAAATACGGATGACGTGAGGATCGTATGGACAAAGCTATGCGGAAGATGTTCTACATGCTCCATGTAATATAAGTGCACACAGAAGAAACA